AAATTGGGTCGGGGTTAGCAAGAAGGGTTAGAATATCCCTCGGGTGAAAGGCCCGGTGATTGGATTCACACTCTGTTAGTATAAGAACCTATAAAATGTGTCTGTGTATGCGGAACCGTTGGTGGTAGTCCATGAATTCCGTGTCGAATGGGTGCTGTTGGTGTAAGTCCATGAATACCCACCCCAAGAAAGACCCTAGTTTTGAAAATGTCATTTGATGTGTAACATAAATGACGGTTTAAACTACACATTGGCACTGCATTGAATTGTGGAGTCAGTGAAGACTCGGGGTAAAGTGCATGAGTGAGTCTCATCTCATTTCATGGCATGACACGATAGATTCTAATATGAATAACATATTCTTGCATTGGAATGGATATTGGTTGTGTATTGTTGCATATATACATTCATATGCACTCAGGTGGGGAGTAGCCCTTGTAGGAAATATTCTACTGGGCATTGGCTCACCCTATACAGGAATACATTTCATATGCGGGACATATTCTGGTGGATAACATGCATTCGGGGCCTCGAGAGTGAAGAAAAGTAGATTTGTGGCTTTTGAAAACAATTTTTGTGTAAAAACTTAAGTTTAATTCCACTTTGACATGTAACCGTGTAAATGGCTTATAATAGAACTTGTAGATATCAAGTTTTATGTGAATAACATCATTATGTATGTTTGAGATGATGTTGGAATGGTTAAAATTGGATTTGAAATGTAAAACATGTGAAACAGGGAAACATTGGCACAGCGTACCGGTTCGGCAAGGTCCAGAAGGCAAACCGTACCAGTACGATGAGGTACAATGAGCAACCCATACCAGTACGTGTACCGGTACACTTTCACAAATTTTGAAATTTTTTAAAATTTTTCTCCTAGGCCATGGGCTATCCATCCTTTAGTTCCTATGATGTAAATGGACTATAATGGAGAATGGAATGTGGTACGTTGGACCACAGTTAGATACAATGATAAAGGTGCACAGGTTTCACGTGTGAGTTTAAAATCCCTGTAAATGGGAAACTATTGACGTGGTGTCGGATCATGCGATAATCACGGGCATTTTCGAGGGTTGACGGGTGGTCAACAGGACCCCCGGTTCTAGGGGCGTCACAATCAACATTCTCCCTTTTTAATGAATAGGTTGAAATCATACATGTGCATGCTTTCTGGAATCAAAGAGGACTGTATCAGGGTTATAACGTGGTCAAAGGGTATTGAGTTTAAAGAATTGACGTCAAAAGTATTCAAAGAGCTATCCTTTCGATTATTGCAGCACACATCTCTCCCATTTTTTCAAAACTTTTACACATTGTATTTTTCATTTCTCCTTTCAATCACATTTTTGCAATTTCTTGACTATTTATTTCTTTGCTTTCTTTCACATATTCTTTTCTTTGTCCTTTTTCTCTTCTTTCTTGAATCGTGATCACCATTTGCTTTTCTTCCTTTTCTATATAATGCTTTCCTTAGGAGAGGATGTAAGAAAATTAGGTAGCAAGGGTCGGTCAATATATTTTTTCTGTGGCTCGGTTAACTGATGGCTTTAAGAAAAGAAATTTTAATTTAAGTTCAATCACAGCTTACTGGGGATGTAGTTTTGCAAAAGAAATGACTGAGGCTAAATAAAATCATAAATGACCTAAGATCACTTCCAAGAATTCATGCACCTATATAATTTACATTTAAGAGTTAAAGGAATGTTAACCATGTTATTCAATGAGTGCTAATCAAAATAAGGATAATAAGATTATTCAAGGAAATATTACCGTTGAACCAAAAATTCTTCCTTGTGTAACTGTGAAAAATCTCTCCAAGGAAGATTGGCTCAAAATCTACATATAGGGTTACATCTCCACTATATATGTAAGCTCTATAAAGGATCGTAGTATTTCAAAAAAGGTTTCAAAATAAGGAATTTTTATGTGCTCAAAATGCTGAGTTTCTTTGAAAATATAAAAATAGTGCACAATCAATGTATGAAAAATCTCACGTAATTTGGTAAAGGTTATACCTGCAAAGCGTTAGAATGATAACATAATTCTTATCATGAATTATATGAGATAAGTATCCTAACATAGCAAAACTTACAAAAATCATAAATAAACCATATTAATCAAATCCAAACAAATATCCAAAACATAAAACTAAAATAAAGTGCAAAAGTAAAAAGTTTGGTAAGAGTAGAAAGAACATAGAAACTTCAAGAACTCCGGTCACTAGGCTGATGGGCCTCCACAGTATTGTCCTCAAAGTAGCCTCAGGATTTCATTATAGTTGTCCTTTTCACTGTAGTTTTGCTCCTGTGTTCAAAAAGCATCAATACATGCAAATATAAGTAATTAAACATTCATAACAACACCGTTAAAATTAAATATAACACACCAAAATTTAAAAAGAAACACAAAACCCTAAAATTTAACATTCTTGATTGTGACAAAAGATCAGTTTTCATCAGATTCCTCTAAATGCAGTTAATCAATGAAACGAGCAATCTCATGCCACACATATTTTGTAAACATTGGACTAGAATAAGATGGAGTCTCAGGGTAATTCTTACTCTGGCCATACTTAATCCAATTGAGATGATCAATTAGACACCCTGAAATGGGTTCAAAATATTGATTGAATTCTCCCATATGCATTAATTGACCACCCTTCACACAATCAAGACTAAACCAAAAGAGTTTTTTTTATTTTTTTTCCATTGAAAACATTTTTGAAATTTTTTGAAAATCTTGCTATCCAACTCTTTAATGTATGTTAGTCACAAACACGAATATGGATTGTTTACCCTCCAAACGGTAGCATTTCTCTGGATTTTTGCTTTGGTAGGCTCTTTGTTGACTAGTTATTTATACTTTTCTTTGCTTCCTCATTTAGCCTTTGCACTTTGGTCCTCTTAGATTTCCATATTTATGCTTGAAACCCTGCAAAATGTACAACAAAGCATTAACCCTAATACTTTATAAATTAATCATTTTATCCTAGTTTACGCACACAGTTAATCCTAAATCCTGATTCAATTATGCATTCTTTAGGATTAATCACTAGACTATCTAGTGACCTAAACAATAGTTTCTATTTAGCAACTAAGAATGCCAGTATAACTTCTAAAATCTAAAACTCCGACATTCCAACCTAATTTCATTTGTGTGAAAACTGATATATGTTTAAAGTTGACTTAAAATCTATGACTCATTAACTACCAACTAGCTTAGTGCTCTTTAGAAAAATGAGTTACACTCTTCACACGCAATTTTGTTTTTTTTCCCATGACCTAAGAATTTAAAGGTTAGGCTTCAAGTATTACATGGGTACCATGGGTCATAGGTTAACTAAGTTTTCATTGCGAGAATGTATAAGTTGAATATGGTATTAGAGGGTTAGGTTATTGATTCTATAGACTATCCTAGGTTTAGCTACTTAGGATGATAACCTACGGGTTGAGGAAAGAGTGATTTTATATAGTTAGTATTTTATTAGATAACACATTCAGTAAATCGGGTTGTTACATCTGGTACCATCCAGACACGCCTAGCAATTTCATTCTAGTGAGCTTGAACCATCGGGATGCGCCTTTTTGGATCCAATGTGCAAGTTTTGGATGAGGAAGACTCTTTTTGGCAACAAAGTGTCTCAAGTCTAACCCTAGACCCGTTAACACACATCAGTTCATAACAAAAATTCTAAAATACACAGTGAAGTCAAAATAGTTTGATATAGATATAACCAATGTTAGTACAAAAGATCAAAATGTAACAACTTTAGGACAAAATTGAAGGTTTTCTATTCTAAGTCATTACAACCTAACTAGATGTCTTCCTAAAAACAAAAAAATAAATAAATAAATAGCTAATCATCTTAAACCTAACTAACTACTTAGACCCAAACTCCTCCTCTTCCTTGTGATCCTCAAATCCAGCCTCAACCTCCTCCTCATCATCATTACTACTATCTATTGAACTGCATCTCTCGGCTCAAACACAAATGCTAGAGGTGGTGCTAAAGTAGCTGGAGCAGCAGCCCCTAAAGTGGTAGCTCCAGATATGGAAGCTGGTGGAGGAAAACTCTGTGGTGTTTCCCCAGGGGCCAAGATCTCAAACAATCATTTCTGCATCCTTAAAGAAAGCTCTAAATCCCTAGCCATCTATGCCTATTTCTCCCAAATTTCATAAATATTAGACTCCGTACCACCCATCCTCTCCTCTAGCCTCGTCACTCTCTAATGAATAGTAGCTCTCGAGGTCAGTGGAACGGTAGTAGCTGCAGAAATTGAAGGTGCAGTTGGGGTAGAAGGTTTATCCACTCTAGTAGCTCTAAACTTGGTGAAACTCTTCCTCTTACTAACACTACTAATGGGCACCTTCTCTGGAGGAGTCAGTTGATTTGTCTGTGTCCTCCACACATTTGCATTGATACATAGTTTTGTAACCATGTTGGCGAAAGGTATACTCCCTCTAGGCTTACTCTTTGAAATGTAATCCCTAATCACACCCCATATGAATAATGTTATATCAATCCTCGATCCATTCATCACCTCATGCAGTAATACAATCTTATGTAAAGTGAGCCACTTCTCGGACCCTTTAGGATACATATTATAGTGCAAAATCTTGTTTATAGTCCGATACTTTGCAACCCAAACTAAAATGACCATCAAACAGCCTAAAATCCTCATCCATAATCTACACATACTATAGGAGACTCCTGGTAGTAAACTCAAGGTACGGGTAATCAATCTCATCAGCCGGTGGCCTAATGTACCCTAAATACTTGGCTATACTATCCGGTATAACCTCAATAATACGGCCTTGCACTGTGTTCTTCAAAATCTTAACCTCAGAATTGACTATATTCAATCCACTATAAAATTCATGACATAAAGTAAGGATGTACCCTCAGACTGGCTCGAAAAAGTAATCAAGTCCTAGCTGCACTATCTGTCACACTGGCATGGTCTTACCCAACCTATTCAGGTCAACCATACACTCACAAGTGGCTACCCTCTCTGTAATAGTTGACTCATAAATGGCCCTTTGTCGTTTCCTAGACTCGGGCTCCTTGGGTTCAGCCTCACCATCTCTCTGAGTGACCTTGCCCTTGCCTTTCTCTTTCATAGTAGCCCTTGGCTTCAATGCCGCAAATGAAGACCCTCGAGTCTTGGCCATGCCCACTACACACGTACTTAATACAATAACAAAGATGATACAAGCCCAAATCCATGAGAGCAAACCATTGGATGTAGAACCAAATGACCTCCTAGCCATCATGTTGAAAGCCTAGGGTTTGGGGTTTTGAGTGAGATGACGATGGAAGTGGGGTAGGAGATTTGAAGGATAAGTATTTAGAATAGTAGTTTCGGTAGCCTAGGGAGAGAATGAGAGAGTGGGTTAGTATTTTTATAATTGAAATGCAAATAAAACCAACCAACTCCCCTTTTAAAATGCCAAAAAAAAAATCCAAGGCTTGTTCAACCAGTTCAAACCATTTTTCCCCTTGAAAAACTGGTACAAGTCCAACCAATTAACCAAGTTTTTATTTTTTTTTATTTTCTTCTCCTTATTTAAATGACCCTAATGTTTTCTAAACCCTATTTACATGCCTAAGACACCTACTACTCCCTTGCATAAAAAAAGTTAATTAAAATACACACAACATGTAACAAAATTACAAATTTCCTAGGATTCAAGATGCATTTCAATTAAAGACACTAAACAAAACCCTAAAGCCACTTTCTTAGGGTACACGATTGCATTTAGCAAATGTAATAAGCATTTAAACCCTCAAGTCACTCGTAGTGGACAAGTTGTGTCTCGTGAAGATTTCTAATGAAGGTACCTACAAACTTCTTTTATTACATCCTAGACTTGGAACATATTACAATATCCTAATTAACTAAAACTAAAACTCCAATCTAAGACTAAAACTAAAACTCCAATCTAAGACTAAAACTAAAACTCCAATATAAGACTAAAACTAAACAAAAAGATCCTTATATAGATGTGTATGTATATATAACACTCCTCTTCTTTCTCCTCATTGACCATGGTGTGTGGTGTGGGTGGTGGGTGATCTCCTAAAAAAGTTTCCTTTACCGATGTCGTCCAATAGAAATGCTCATGTGATGTGTTGGAGGTGCCAAGACTCAGTCAAAGTAAAGCTTCTAGGGATTGGTAGCCTTCCTCAAGGTGTGTGAGTTGATAGGAGAAAGCTTCATGGCAATGGAATGCGAGCTCAAGATTTACGGCCAGTTGAATGGAAACTAGTCTCTGCAACACTATGTTGAACTGGTTGAAGAAGAAGTTCAATCGATTGAAGTGTATGTAGGATCTTGGCAAAGCTCTGATGAACCAGTTAAACAAAGGTTCAACCAGTTGAACCCTTTACAACAACCAGATGTACCGGTTGAAGTTGAACCAGTTTAAGTAGCCTTTTTTTGATTTTTCCTTTTCTGCTCCTCTGGTTCAATCCTTCTTCATTCCAATACTTTCCCATGACATTTCGCTTGCTTCCACGTATTCCTCTTCCCCTCCTTTAAACCTACAAACCCAAAAACACATAATTACTCCAATCTTAACATAATTCAAAAAATTAAACATGAAACACATGCTTAAAGTGGATGGATTAAACTATAATATACAATGTTTTGCGCTCAACATAGCATTGCTGAGCAGCTTCAAAGATATCAACTAAAAATTAACCCCTTAAAATATGCCTTTGGCTACCTCCAACAAGTTCCTTGGATTCAATGCCAAACATCGAAGTATTAAGACTGATCAATTAAAAATAGATGTCATCTTGAAGATCTTGAGCCTGGTAATCTACATGAGCTAAAAAGTCTTCAAGAAAGGCTTACTTGCATAAGAAGATTTATCTCAAATCTCGTCAAACAATGTCATTTGTTCAACAAACTGAAAAATGAAAGATACCACTTTCAAATGGGATCATGCTTGTAGAACTACTTTTGAAAACATCAAGCAATAATTTTTTCCATCCCCTAGTTCTTGATGCACCAAGTAAAGGAAAGCCATTCATTCTTTACATTGCTTCCCAATAACAATCATTGGCGCACTCTTACCACAAATCAATGACGAAGGAAACAACAATGCACTATACTATTTGATTCAGACGTTAGTAAGTGTCGAACTAAACTACTCACCTATTGAAAAGATGTGTCTTGCATTAGTCTTTGCTAAAAAAAAGTTAAAACATTAGATATTGGCACATGTCGTCCACCTCATTCCAAAATCTGATCCTGTTAGGTACATCATGTCAAGGTTATTTCTCTCGAGAAGGTTGGCCAAGTATGCACTTCTGTTGTTTGAATATGACACAGTTTTTGTTCCACAAAAGGCAATCAAAGGACAAGTATTGACTTCTTTTTTTTTTTTGCAAAATACTACTATCCATGCGGATTGGGAACTACCAAAAGAATTCCTAGATAAAAAAGTTTTCTTTACTAGGTTCATACCCTTTTGGAAGTTATATTTTGCTGGTTCTGCTCCAAGATATAGAGTTGGCATTGGTGTGGTGTTTGCCACCCCTAAAGATGAAGTCTTGCCTTACACAATCACCTTGACTGAGTCATGCTCCAATAACGTAGCAGAGTACCAAACTTTAATCATTAGCTTGGAAATGGCGCTTGACATGCAGCTCTCTCTCTCTCTGTGAAAAATCTATGGAGATTTAAAGTTGGTGGTTCATTAGGTTTTGGCATTGTATGATCTTTGTAAACCTGACTAATTGTCATACTATCGTTATGCAACTCAACTTATGAGTCTGTTTAATTGAGCCACCATTATAAATGTATCACATGATGAAAATATATACATTGATGTTATTGCTAATATTATTATTGTACTTAAAAAATCCTATTACCATATAATTTTGGTTCTAATTTGTCAATGATAGGTAATACCTCCTTTGTAACCTAAAATAAAAGAAGTTAAAACCATTTAAGTGGTGTAAGTTAAAAATGAAGATTGCCTCTAATTGACTATTTGCAATATGGGAGATTATCAAATGATCCATGCCATAGAACTGAGATACGACAACGAACTCCTCAATTTGTTTATTATAAAGGCACATTGTACCATCACTCTTGTTGATGGTTTGTCCCTTTGATGCTTGGATGAAGACAAACCTGCTAAGGCACTAGAAGAAGCTCATTCTGGAACATGTGGTGCTCATCGGTTAGGGTCTAAAATACATTGCCACATAAAAAGAATGGGGTATTACTGGCCCACTGTGGTATAGGACTCGATGAGTTATGCTAAGAAAGGTTAAGTTTTCCAGTGACATGTCAACTTCATTCACAACCACCTGAGCCGTTGCATCCTATGGTTGCACCTTGGCCTTTTGATGCATGGCGACTTAATCTAGTGGGGCCTTTAACTCCTAAGTCATCAGTTGGTCATCTTTACATCTTAGTAGCAACAAACTATTTCTCCAAGTGGGCAGAAGTAGTTCTCCTTAAAGAAATGTAGAAAGAGAATGTTGTTGTGTTCATCAAGGTAAACATCTTATACTAATTTGGTGTACCGTATTACATTATCACCAATAATAATGGCAAGCCATTCTACAATAGCCTTATAGATAAGCTATACATTAAGTGTGGGTTTGTACAACATAATTCATCTAGGTACAATGCACTATCCAATGGGCTCACTGAAAGTTGTCTCCAAATCAAAAAAAGCATCGGCATTTGATGAAGAAAGTTGTCTCCAAATCAAAAAAGCATTGCCATAAAAGGGTTGGTGAAGCTCTCTAGGCATACAGAACTACAAACCAAACTCCAACACAATCTACTCCATATTCTCTTATGTATAACATTGAAGTTATTCTTCCTCTAGAACATCAAATCTCCTCCATGCGGATTGCTTTACAAGAAGAACTCACAAATGAAGAAAATGTATGTTTATGTTTAGATGAGCTAGAAACACTTGATGAGAAAAGGATAGATGCACAACAAAGCCTGGAAGGTTATCAAGCTAGACTTTCCAAAGCTTTCAACAAAAACGTTCGTGTCCAGTCATTCCAAGTAGGAGATTTGGTCTTTGTAATTTGAAGGTCTATCGTTATTTTGCATCACACTGGTAAAAAATTTATGCCAAAATGGGATGGTCCATATATGGTCAAAGAAGTCTACACCAATTGTGCTTACAAGATAGTTGATAAAGATGGTTTGAATATCTCCCCAATCAATAGGAAGTTCCTGAAGCACTTCTATGCCTGAAAGTAGCTCGTTCCTTGGTGTACAAGCCTATACTGCTTGTTACTCTTGGCCCGCTTGAGTTACAACTATGTACGACAAAAAAAAAAAAAAAAACCCTTTTGGTTCCTTGCTTGCTTGAACTAAAACTATATACGACATAACCAAAAAATAATTTATTTTTTATTCCTAACCCTAATGAGTTAAAACTATGTACGACATAACCCAAAAAAAAAATTACTTTTTGTTCTTGGCTCTTATAAGCTAAAATTGTGAATGGCCCAACCAACATAAATAAATAAGGTCCATTAGAAATTACGCTTAGCTTAATATTTTTTTCAAGATATCTACGTCATTTGAGAACCAAATTTCAATTCGAAAAATAGTAACCTTATAATAAAAAAATCTTTTTTGTCCATATTTCCAAAAAAATTACAATTGAAGAGTTGTGAGTTCATAAAAGTTTCTTGACCCAATCAATTAAAGCTAGTGCGATGAATTCCTTCTCTAATATGGATCTCATCTGGTTCATAGCTTATATTCCTTAATGTTGCGAATGTGAGACTCTTGGAGTTCAACACGCTCTTAATCCATCAACTCAATAATCTCTTATGTTTTTTGTTGTTCGTCACAAATGAAGTCAATCCTAGATGCCACTTTGGTTCTTTTTGATCTTTGCAATCATCAGA